CCCCAAAACCCCAAAACCCCAAAACCCCAAAACCCCAAAACCCCAGTAGGAGCTATTTAGGTTGAAAATACTTATGTAAAAGAGTGTTTGCTATTTATTGAGGTACGACCTAACAAAAGCCTCATATTTTTGTATATCTTCTTCGGTGGGTTCAGAGCCGTCACTTGAATCAGAATCATCGCTATCGTCTACACAGTTAGATTAGATAATTACCTTGCATTGGTGTGTTACTGGCTCCAATTTCTTGGACAAGTGGTTTCTGGGTCTCTTCATCACTTTTATCACTGAACTTTAGCAGATAAGGCTTACTCTTCGATGATAAGACATGGTTTCTTGCTCTCTTGTAGTCACACATCTTTTTCATTGAATTCAGGGTTTTTGATGTCGTAGACACCAACGCCCATGTTAATTTCGATGTACTGCTTATTAGACTGAGAGGGATCAGCAGTCTGTTCAGCTTGGCTATCAGCCTCTGTGTTTGTCTGAATGTCAATATTCATATTTTTCCTAAGCTCATCATTGTTAATGAGTTCCTAAAAGAATTAGAAATGGCTCAAAGATTGTTTCAGATAGCTTAAACCATATTTTTAGAGAGTATAAAGACTAAAATAGTATTAGAATTCAGAATAATGCTTTGGGATAATATCTAAATGATTTTAATAGTAGAGAAATTAATCTCTTTCATAGTATTATCTGAACCCACATTTCTACAAGGGCTTACCTCTGTTGAAGTCTTAAACTGTGGAAGAAATGATTTAATATCATTTAGAACTGATGATTTTGGCAATGGCATGCTGAAATCAGGCTTCTGAGATGGTCTTGCCAATAAGTTAGAGATGAATGCTTCTTTGTGGCTTTCGGATGGATCTTGAGGTAGCTATAACAATGTTTCAAATTACAATAACCAATTAAACTCATAATTTTATTCATAAAAATTTCAAGGAAAAATTGGATTCTAATAATTTATTTTACAAACTGTCCACACAGCTAATTCAGTTAACTGATACAAGTGTCCTCTATTAAGCTAATTTAGCTTTACTTTATCCTATTTAAACCCCCTTATCAAATCTATTCCTCTGAGAATTCCCAAAATTTAGTTATTTTGTACTGTTTTCCTCAAACTACCCCTATCACCATATCCCTTAAATCCGCTTCTAACCTTCCACTTCCCCTTCCCTAACATCACACACTCTAAACAGTACCTTACCCCACCCACAATCCTACTCTCCCCTTCCACCTCCACTACACCCTTTGTGCCTACCTTCTCCATTTTATTTTCTAATTAATATTCCATCTTCCCTTTAAAAATCGGGGTTTTGGGGTTTTGGGGTTTTGGGGTTTTGGGGTTTTGGGG